ATCTTCGTGAAGCTGCACCAGCTGAGAGGCCATCATCAGGTTTGATGGGAAGGATGGAAAGAGGTGATATGGGAAAGACACCTGCTGAAGAGGAATTAGTGCCTGACGTATTGGTCAGTCCTCCGCATGGGCGCGGCGGGCGTCTGGGCTGGTGAAACGGATACGTCACAGGTTGCAAGAAAGCGAGGCTGAGCGGGAGACTACAGTTCAAAATTATCAAGACAAGAAGGGGATATTGCGAAGGTTAACGGCGGATGAGCGGGCCTTTCGTGATCATTGCCTGAGGGGGCATATCCCTGTTCGACGTGATTGTCAAATCTGTGTGTCTGCTGCTGGGAAAGAGCGCCGCCACTTGCGAAGGAAGCATGGTGACGGGTATGCCTTGTCTTTGGACCTTGCAGGTCCGTACAAATGCTCCAAGGATGCTCACCAGCAGAAGCCTCGACACGCTGTTATCGGTGTTTATCAGTTTGCAACGTTAGATCCAAATGTGGGTCGCCCTCCTGAAGAGGAGGATAAAGAGACGGGCGAGGTGGATGATCCAGTGGTAGACGCAGGCGCTGGTGTTGGAGAGTGGCTCGGTGATGAAGCCGCAAACTTCGAAGAGGAAGGTTCCGCACCGGTGGAGCCCGCACCAGTTCTGGAGGCAGAGGTGTCAAAAACACAAACCTCTGAGAAGTCCTGGAAGGAGCTGACGGATCACTTGACTCAGCCTGTTCGGACGGTCAACTTTGTTATGGTGGAGCCCATAGTGGACAAACAACAGTCTACCGTGTTGGCTGCAGTTCAAAGGATGCTGGTGCGCCTGCAAAGACAGGGTTATCCGGTGTTGAGAATCCACTCGGACAGGGCTGGAGAGTTCGTCAATGCACGATTCCGATCTTTCTGCGAAGCCACAAACCAATGGGCGTGCAGAGTCACGTGTTGGTTTCTTTAAACGCGGTGTTCGTTCGCTCCTAAAGGAGGCGCGACTGAGACCAGCATATTGGGCACTTGCTGCTCGTCACTGGGCAATGCTGCGGTGGCATAAAGCTGAAAGGGAGCTGGGTTTATCGCCTAAGGCTACTTCCCTCTGGTGCTCAAGTGCATGTGAAACGTCGTCCCTGGGAACTGCTGGGATGGAACCAAAAAGGGTCGGCAACGGGTCGATCGCACGCAGCCTGCGTTGCTGCTTGGTCCATGCGATGACCTCCCTGGCGGGCACTGGGTGGAAGCACAAGGAACTGCCTCCCAAACAAAGGGTTCGCAGCAAGAGGCCGGCTCTGGAAGCTGTTGCGGGGGATGATCCTCTGCTTCCGCCGCCGCCTGAACCGGCGCTGAAGCTGGAAAGTCCAGCCTCATCGCTGCATGTTCGTGCGGGCTCCTTGCGCTCACTTCGCAAGCAGTAGGAGAGTCCGCCCTGAAATTGTTGAGGAAGACATGCAGGGTTTGGGGGAGGGAGAGGACACAAATGTGGAGGACAATGGTCCGAGTAATGAGTTTTGGCCAAATTGTTGTGCTCCTGGTATGGATTCCTGTATTCCCCAAAAAAGGGTTAGCGCAGAAGAAGAAGAAGCACAACTGGAGAAGGAAGAACAAAAGGCCAAACATATGTATGAGCAGTCCATGTATGACTATGTTGACTGTGAAGAGCTGTTTACCCAAAGAGGGTGAATCGTCGAGGAGGTACTAACAACTGGTGTCTGAGCACATATGCCTTGGTTTTGGGAGCAATTTGCCGTTGGCGCAGTCAAAAAGGCCTTGGAAATATCGACTCTTGCAATAATCCACAGCGTATAAGCAGCGTGTCGCGCCTGACATCTGAAGGTTGTTGAATCCAGACCCGGAGCATACAGCGAGTGACGACTTAGGGACCTCGGCCCTTCGTACTCAGTGGCCGCTGTTGTGGAAATAATGTTTCCCACACGCGCAGATGCGAGCACGTCTTCTTCCAGTTCCTTGCTTTCTGGTAAACACCACCAGACTGGGCACGTGCTCAATCGCCGGTGCGTTTGGCTGTTCTGCCAACTCATCCAACTTTTCTTGTGTTGTAGGTTCCACCACCTGAAACTCCTGAACTAGTGACACTACTTCATCAGACAGTGGTTCCCGCCACTTCTCGAGCTCCTGCATAGCTTCTTGAGTTGGAATAGTTTTAGTTTGTAAGAACTCAGCCTCCTCTGCCGCCTCAAGTTCAGCTATCATTTTTCTTAAGGTCAAATGCTCCTCAAGAGCCCACTGTTGCGCCTCAAGTACAGCGTAGTCGGCCTCGGTAGCCATGTCCTCCAATGAAGCTTCTTTCAGCGTCAGTTTTAACCACGTTGCATTTCCACCTCCGTCAGCTTCTTGATCAGGTAGGGGAAACTTACATTGATGTAGGAAACACCTATCCTTATAGCCCAACCGTTCGAGCGTAGCAGGCGCGTATCCTGTAAGGGACATTTGAAGGCATCGGCCCGTGCGCTCTTCTTGGTAAGAAAGACGTGAAGTTCCAGTGTACATCCACCATTTTCCAGTCAAGCCTTTCTTGCCGTAGGACTGTTCCACCATATCAGCGCCTTCTTTGATTGCATCCTCATCTTCGATCCAAAATTGACCATTTTTGTAGTCCCCAAAACCACACACGTAATTACAGTGGTTCTTATCGTTGTGACTGTCCCGATGCAACGACACCGGAGCGTTGCAGGAAATTTGAAGAGCAGAAGACATTGCCCCAGGATTGTGTTTCGCCGCAAAGGTTGCCAGGTATCTACACAGCCAAGGTCTCCTTTTGGTTTCAGTGGTGATCCCACACACGCCCCCACGAGTGGCCCCTTCCAGACTCATCGATCTGGTATCCCCGCCTACGCAGCAAATCTCGCGCAAAATCCTCTTAGTTCAGAAAGGAGGTACCATTTCTGTACCAAATCTGAACCCCTAAGAATTTCAGGAATCCGTCTGCACAGCCTGGACCACAGAATTCAGGTTCTGACATTTTCCACTCCTTCCTCATATTCCCGGCCAGCAAGAAATCATCCACGTCGAGACCCATAGTCCCCACTAATTCACTCACGCTCTTCAGCTTCTCCTGGGCCATCGCCAGAAATAAACTAGGGTCTGCTTTGGACCTCTGAAAACTCATCGTTCGTCCATCTCCGGAAACCCAAGACATGCCTTGAAGACGTTGATCTCGCTACTCCACCCATGCCGCAGGACTCTCAACCAAACCGTATAAGGCCTTTCTTACAATCCAGCGCTCCGCTTTTGAACCCCAGGTGACGGATGTGGATATTCCTTCTCTGAGAGCGGCGCAAGGGGCCTTGGGGGAGTTCCTCTGGGTTGCACTTAAGACAAGACCGGACTTGGCGTTCTGTGCAAGCCAGCTTTCTTTGTGGATTTCTCGAAGGCCGCGGTTCGTGGCGAAGAAAGCCGAAGAGGTCTTCAAGTATCTTGCTGCGACGCCAACGTTGGGTATAACGTATGGCAAAATCACTGCTGGGACGACAGAAAGAAACGAGCTTCTGCGATATGGGCGGAGCATAAAAGTGGGTTGAGTCCTATGCAGATGCCAGCTTTCGCAGCTGGCGAAAACGAGAAGAGTCACTCTGGTGCTGCGGTAGCATGGGGTGATTGCCCCGTAATATGGGCCACACAAAGACAATCAACGGTGGCTTTGAGTACAGCAGAAGCTGAGTTGCACGCGTCTATAGAGGGAGCCACGATGATCCAGTCGTGCACACCTGGTTGGGACAAAGGAGGAGTCACTGCAAAAAGTGCTGTATACAGATTCTGTATCAACATGTTCAATTCTTCAATATCCTGCTGGAAGCTGCAGGACGAGGCACCTACGGATTCGGGCCGCGGGTGTAAGGTCTCTTGCGGACCGTGGATATTTGTTGATTGCACACCTTCGGGGCGAGTATATGCTAGCCGACCTGCTAACTAAGCTGATGAGTGGGCAAGTGTATGCCAAACTGAAAAGCCTGTGGGGCATACAGATGCTGGTTCAAGGAACCGACCTGAAGAAGGTTACCATTTCTGCGGCAGTTATGATGGTGGCTGCATCTCTTCAAGGCTTGGCTGTGAATCCCAGCGATGAGGAGCCATTAACACCTGGTTTTTTCTGCTCTGAGGAGGGTGTTTGCATGACATCAAGTACGTCCATGGCTGTGTTTATGGCACAATGGATTGAAACGATCCTGAACCATCTGGATCTTGGGATGTATCTGGTAGCGATAATTTTACTCTGGGAGGTGATCAGGTTTGGGCTACAGCAACTTCGACGTTGGCTGTGGGGCAAAAAGGCGGTGGTCATCCCTACGAGCGCTACTTTGTATACAGTTACGGGAGGAGGAAACTGTATGCATGCAAGCAGTGATTGCGATGTTCGGCGCTACTCACAGCCCAGGGCCAGAACGTTATGCAAGCGCTGTGTCAAAAAGGAGTGGGTTGTGAGCGCTGACTTCCTTGGGGAGGAAAGGTTTACTGGAACGTAGACCCCATCCGTTTGAGGTGAAGAAATCCTCAGCGGTTCAGCTTAGCCAGGGACCGTCCTGGATGACGTTAAACCTTATTTTTTACAAACCCAATGGCTACGGACCGTCCCGCGAGACGTTCAACCCGTGTGTGGCTGGTGCAAACCTGCAGTTTTTGGCCAATGTCGCCATCTCCAAATGTGTCCCAGAAATCTGGGACAGGGGAGTGCGGAGATGGAAAAGGATTCTTGAAAGGTTGTGAAATGACCCGCATTCTATTTGTTTCAAGATCGGCAATGCGCCTTTCGTTGAAAAGGAACTCTTGTGTGTGTTGGGTTTTGGTGTTGGTTGGTCCAGGGAGAGGAAATTTGGCAATTGTTGGGGTTGACAATTTGGTTCCTCGTCCCCCCTCGGTTGCCCCCGTATAGGGTTTAGGGTTTCGGGTTTAGGGGTTAGGGTTTAGGGTTTAGGGTCTAGGGTCTAGGGTCTAGGGTTTAGGGGCCTTGCTTTTGGGCGCGCCACTCTGTCGACGGAGCATCCGCACGCAGCAGCAAATGTAACGACTCTTCAAGCTGTGTAGTCGTCATTGCTTGCACGCACGTCCTGTCGCACTATGCAGTTGGACTTCGTGTACGTCGAAGCTGCCTGCCAGGCAACTCGTAAGTGGCCGCTCAACCAAATCTCTTATGATTCATCTGCCAACCTGCTCGCCGTAGCCAAAGGGGCAAGTGCCACTGCGCTCCTTCAAAACCGATCCAAGGAAGATAAAACATCCAGCTGAGCACTTCAATGTGTAGCAGTCAGGCCAGGCATGCACGCACCATCACGCACCGCACCCGCAAAAGCTCCTTGAAGGCGCGACCGATGGTGTGCGCACCGGAGAGGGCCACAATCTCTTGATCAGAGAAGCCTTGCTGCTGCATGGTTTTCAGTGCTCCCGCCCTGGAACAAGCAGACCAGGATCTGGTCTCCCCCCCCCCTCTTCCAAAAAACCCTCCTTGGGACCCCCCACCACCAAGCGACACATGACTTCGGCTGTCGTTCGTCTGCGCACGCTACACCCCGCGTCGGTCCTGCCCGGCTACAATTATAACAAGACACGGGAAGGCAGCCTTCTAAACACAAGGTATTTTCGCTTTAAATGCGCTGTATCGTCCAGGCTTTGAGGCTTCCGGGGTCGAGATTGCGATGCAACGAAGCAGCGGCACGTGAGGGGCCATCCTTACAGTGCTCAGGTGTTTAGGGTGCCTACGTCAGCAAAGGACAGCGCTTGAAGCTGGAGGCGGAACATAGCTCACACCGGCAAACACAGCAAACGTAATGGCCAGAATGTTGAGCAGAATGCCCAGTCACATCCACAACAACAAAAAGAACAGCAGCCTGGGCGCACGGCCCATCTTCTTGGTGAACACGTTCCGGAGGTGATCCGCCGCCGTCGGTGCCTGCAGGCTATGCTGTCCTTCAAGCTGTAGTGGGTTGGGCAAGCGCACACTGAGGATGACACGATCCTAGTCTTCTCCCCGAGTTTTGGGAAAAATCGCTGCACAGGCATACGCCGATTTGACAGCACATTTTAGACGACCAGACTTATGCACCAGCATAGTCAGAATGCACATTCACTGCCATCACTACACTGGTCGGTGACCTGCTGGTCTGTGACTTGCCGGTCTGGGTCTCCCACCCCACAGCCAAAGGGAGGCTCGGCATCGGGAAGTCCCGCATTGCCAGCAAAGCCCTCGAGTCAGGGGAGCTAAGCTTGGAACGTTTATCTGTCTGCAAAAACCTTGCAAAGCCTCGGACAGCCTTGCAGAGCCTCCCTCGTTCTCTTGAGCTTCGGTTGCATTGCAGATGCTTACCGGCCTCTCTTGAACCCGACTTCACGCACTGCTCCTCAGATGTGACCGCCACACGGCCGTACCTCATCAACACCGCACAATGTCAGAGCAGCGCCTTGAAGGTTGGTGTTGTCGTGCCACCCTGCGCGCAATCATTATGGAGCCACCTATATACACTCATTCATCTAGCGCACTTCATGTCAATCACAGGTCCGCCAGCACACTCGATGGCAGTGGCAGACCTGCTGTTGGATCGTGCAGACTTCTTGCTAGGCTCTGAAACTTCAACCCCGGCATGCAGCAATGAAAAGAGGACCAGAACATGAACCAAAGAGATGCAGATGCAGGACGTCCAACCAACACAGAATGCAGCGTTGCCATCATTCAGGGAAGTAACTGGCCCACCCGCCCCCCCTTTTCCCTGCAACAGTGTTAGCACAAGCCTTTCGGCCTTTCACCTTGTCTAACCTCTCCCTGCTCAAATAAACAAAACACGATGACGGACGAGGCTGCGACGCCAGCTGGATCAGATCAGCCCAGGAGATCTGGTCAGATCCAGGGAGCGGTACCCTGGTACCCTACTTACAAATCTTTTACAAATCAGTGAGGTACATTGAAGACGAGGTTCAACAGAAAGACACTATGTCAAGCCATGCCTCACGGCATTCAAAGACCAGCATCAGCTCTGTGCCGCAACTGAGGGCCGAACGGCAGGGTACTTTGCTGCAAAGGGCTCAAGGAAGCCTTGGACTTGGGAGCGGAGAGCCGACTACTTCAGACTGAATTACATTGAATTACCATTCACATCAGGCCTTTTGGCAATGCATTCGGCCACCACTCACACAATCTTCACAACCCTTCGCATGCTAATGCCCCGGCCTCGTGCCTTGTCCAGACCGGCATTGGCACCTCAAGAAGACTCTAGAATGACCAGCATATAACGTCATGACACCAGAAAATTCATGTGGAGTAAATGGTAGCTGTTCCAGACTCCGCACCGAAATTCATCTCGCTGGGAAATCGGATCGCACCTTGGTGCGATCAGATGTTCCACGGCTTAGCAGGGTGGCAGGGATCCAACAGGTCGCAGCAACATGTGAACGTGTGCAGGCGTCACAATGGATGCAAGCCAAGCTAGATTGGGCAGGGACCGTTGGCACCACCCCGCTCCGGGAAGTCCTTGATGCGCCTTGAGTAGCTGTGCCCATGTGCCACAGCTTGCGAGCCGTAACATGTGGGCGGTTAACAACTGGGATGCTAGAGTCACGAAGACAAACGCAAGTCTGAAACCTTGGGTTGTGGGCTGATCATAGGTGCCAGAATCCTGGCCACAGGGGTCGCACAGAACTGCAGCCCCCCACGTGTGCTCTTTCGCACAACTTTCGACTTGTCTGCTCTTGCCTGCTCACCTTCTGGACAAGTGTGATTTCAACATGGTGTGACGCTTCAGAGGTCTTAACCCTTGGCTTCAACACTGCCATTTGACGTGCCAGCAAGGCGTGCCATGCCAAACGTACCAGAATCCTGAGCAAGATGGCAGTGCTGTCAGCAGAAACTATCCCGCTGCCCAACGCCCAAAGTCCAATCTGCCGAGGCCTTTCCTCCCAAGGAGTATCAAAAAGTGCCCCTAAAGACCCTCCCCCCAGTCCCGAAACCCCTTCTCCAAGGACCTCGCAGGGAGCCAGGGACTGACCTTTGACCTTTCAAACACGCCGCCTGACAAGCTCTGCGGACCTGCATAGGAACCGAACAAGATCGGCTGACGCAAGAAGAACCCCCTGCTCGTCGCTGAAGGTTCGGGGATTCCTTGCGCCCCACCGGTCGTAGGATTCCCTACATGGAATTCCAAGCGAAGGTCGTTGACAACCTCAGCGCAAGTGCACTGCACTTGCGATCACCCACACCACGGGAGGCCAAGCGTTGACCTGTTCTTGGCAGGCACCTCGAGATGAGTTGATTACTCTTGTTTTTGGAGCTCGGAACCCTGCAGAGTCCAAAACCACCCCAGAACTTGGATCATCTTTTGGCACCGACACTCAAGCTAAAGCCCAGGCCGAGGCGGGCGGTGCAGTGAGCCAAATACAGAAGCTTTCTGGACAAGCATCGGATGGCAATTCTTGCTGTCGATGAACTTCTTGAGCTCCTGTCATTCCCAGAGACAAGTAACCAGCATGTGTCTCAATGTTGCTGTTACTCCAGCCGTCCTCCGACTGCTGCTCTCTCTGATACGAACACGATGCACGGCATGCTTCGGGCTACATTTCATTCTTCAACAGGACTTGCAACAGAACCATGCAGAACCATGCCTGCTTGCAGGCTCGTAGCTGCTTGACCTTCTTGCTGCCAAGCCTTACAGGGTCTGTACTTTGCGACAAAGCCTTCACCAAACGCATGGGGCAAGCACATACCGAAGCAGCCATCCGAGCAAGCGTTACCCATGGTGGCCTCAGTTCACAAGGACCACAGCAAAAGCAAAGCTCAAAGAAGGTGCTGTCACAGATCAACAAGGCATTCTGACATGACAAGTGCTCCAAGCGGATCTGGCGTCTGTGCATGACAGAGACGTAACACACGCAACACACTAGGCCGCAGCGCGGGACGTCTGGTTTTAAGCAGATGCCCGTCTGTGCTTGGCTTCTTGGACCAAGCGAGCCGAGATGGCAACAGGTGCCTGTACCCACCCTGCATTTCACTGCACGACCTTGCCAGGCCTACCTTCCTGCAGGAGTGCCCGGCTACCCGCATGGCTACAACAAGCCGACTCTGACTCTGTGGAAGTTTTGCTCTCGAATCTGCACTCATTCGAGGTGCGGAAGAGGCTCACAACGGTGAGGTGCTCATCCGCCTCCGGGCTTGCAAGATGAATGCAAGGCCAGGGTCATGCGCGGCCAGGAGGATGAGCACCCTACAACTTGCGTCTGGTTCTAGGCCTTCGTGCCAGCTCGTAGCTGATGTCACTGAAGGTCAGATCCTATCACACGCGTGAGATAAGCGTTTGTGAGCAGATCTCAAGCCACTTGGATCACTCATGTCTGTAAATGTCCGAAACCTTTTTGCTACTTGGTGCAACCTGGAATCTATGGCACTATGGCAAACACTCTGTTCCAACAGGTGCCAGCTTGCCATGGAGTCTGCCAATACAGAGAAGAACAGGTTCACGGAAAAGAAGTGAAGTGGCCACGGAACTCAATTTGGTCTGCACAAGTGATGACTTTAATGGTGGAACAACGGTGATCGTGACCGAGCTCCGGGCATCCACGCCCGAGAGGCTGCCAGCAGGACCCGAGCCCTGCCCAGACTGCTACAAATGTGCTGCGACGTGCTACGTGATGCCACAGATGTTATGCGAGTCAAGGTTGCTCAGCTACCACGTGATTACCACACAGTCCGAAGTCATCACGGGGACCTGACTGCACTGTGACTGTTCTGCCTTGGGCTCTCGGGCGTATGCAAACAGCAGCAGAATTGCCTCAGGTATCGACGACATGCCATATGTTGTTGGAGAGATGGACAGAGATCGTGATGACACGCAAAGCGGTCTCAAAGACGAAGGACAGCAGGCCACGCATTGATGAGGTTCGTGCATCATTAACGTCAGTCCAGTCAATGTAGGCGGCATAAACAAGCATCAGCAACGTCTCGAGATTTCTGTGCTTTTGCGCCAGGCGGCTGCTGGCAGAGTCGCCCACAGCACCAGGCCGAGACCAAAGCTGAGCCCCTGTGCAGAGTACGAAGAGTAAGCAAACGATTGCATTTGTAGCGAAAGCCCCCGCCCCAAAGTGCCCCTGATGAACTCCTCTATCTCATTCAGCTCCGTCACACTTGAGTGCTTGAGACACGTCACTCATGCGGTCGCGTCTTCGGCTCTTCAGATCCAAGTGATAAGCTGGTTTGGGTTGCCTTGAGCTAGCTGCAAATGGGGTATAGGTTGCTTTTGCCGCAGAGACGGCGGGACGCGGGACACGGGACTGAGTAGAGGAGCTCGCAGCCCCCCCCCATTTGCAAACAGTGTGCTCGCATGAAATCATCTGCTTTCAGCAAGCTTGTGTGGGGAGTTAAACACGATGCCGGCCTGACGGGGTTTGGCA